GCATTGCTCATGTTTCCTGTGTGTCCAGGCCGTAAATAATATTAAAAAACAGGGTTTGATTTAAAGATCCAGTGTGTAACATTTAGAAGGATCTATTGGCATAAATGGAAAATAATATGCCATTTATAATATTACAATAGGTATGTTTTAATTGGTGTATAATCACCTGAAAATAGAAACTGTTGTGTTTTTGTCAGAATGAGATGTTTTTTTTATCTGGGGGGGGGCATGTCCTGCTCTATGGAGGCCACCACGTTTCACTGTATATAGGGCCTTTTGTGTTTTTCTTTAGTTTCATGGCCATCGTAGTTTCTCCTAAATGCTTGAAAGGCTAAGTTGTATTCAAGTGGTTGAAATCTGCAAATTCACCGTTAGATGCCACTAAATCCTACACACTGGTCCTATAATGAAAATGTTAATTTTAATGTTAATCAAATGTTAATGATTAAAACTTTTAGAACTACAGAACTTTAGCAGCATTTTATTCATGAAAATGTCTGCAAATCTAAATGCATTTTTATATTGTACCTGCAAGTTAAGCGTAGGTTTTGTCTCTGTACATGCAAATGAACTTTAAAGGTACACCTTCATACACTAAACAGGAACAGTTATCTGTATTGGGGGAGACGGTTGGCCAAAGGCATTTGGAGACTGTGGAGGTGGAGCGTGGTGGAGAAACGGGGTTGGGGGGGGTAGGAGGGCGTCTTTTCAAGCCAGCAGAAAGGTTTTACTCTGACACACATCCCACTTGTTATGACATGTAGAGACACATCTAAAAGCAAACTCCTAAGAGGTTGCTGAGGGCGACCTCAGTAATATGCAAATTAATTCCACCAGAGTATCTTAGACAATGCACAAAGCTGTCTAAACTGGAAGCCTATTAATACATTAAGTTATGATGCTCAGTTGTGTTATAAAGAAACAGAAGCAGCTCCACAACAGCAGACTGGGTGAACCTAAACTTTTTCTGACCCAATTACCTTAGCTGATCTGCTCTGACTCCTCTGGCCTGTACTGTTACTGGAGTTACACTGCCATTTGTATCTCTTCCAAGATTCCTCATGAACATTTCATGTGAGGTGTCTTATAAATTATGAGGGCTCCTCCAGCTGACATTATGAGGAAAAATGGCAAAGCCTGCCTTTTCTTCTCTGGCTCTTATCATAAAACAAAGGCTAGCTCAAACCAGGAGGAAAGGCTTTCCCGACAGCTCAGAGTACTGTGCGGAGTACAGTATGCCCAAATGAATCTCTCTGCTTATTTCCAATGACTATCTCTCTAACATCTGATAATAACATTACAAAAACATTTATGCCACTGCTCAAAAATCCCTCTGGAAAATCACTTTGTATAAATATTGATTGGATATTAAAATTTCACTTCTTTCTTAATTCTATACAGTGGAATACCGAAAGCCTGGGATCGTATGAAGGAGTTCTCAACTTGTCATTTTGGTATTAAAAGGAGAAATAAAAAGAGATTCTCTGCGGCAGAATGAACTACACTGCATAAGTATCATCAGCACTAATTGTAAATAATGCAAAGCATCTCATCCTTTCAATTATTCAGCTTTATGTCCTGGTTTTGGTTGACAGAAATGTAGTGATGACAAAATATTGTAAGTTCCTCTGATGCACAAATGCCAAGGCATCTGTACTGCAAGCTGAGTAGCTGTGTCTTATTAGATTTCCACAAACACAGTACACCTACGCACAACCTAAGTGGATTAAATATGACGGATGATGACATTTGGAGAAAAGGCTCTTTCAGATTACTCAAATCTAATCTGGAACTCTAAATCAGGACTAATCAGTTGCTTTTCAAAGAAGCTTCAATCATAGGAGGAATTTCTGGCTTGCAAACTGGGTTTCTCGCAAGAAAAGCCTTTCTTTTATAGTGCATTATTTTCAGGTTTTTTACAGTTTGAGAGGCATTTGCTTTTTAAAAAACGGCTGCTTTTTGTGTTCCCGTTTTGCCAGGAAAAAAAATGTCCTCAAAGCTATGACCTGTGTAATTGCTGGACAGAACTTGTTGTATGGAACGTAATAATGTTGTGTAACTTATAAGCTACAGATGGAGCTCAATTGAGTCTAATGAAAAGTTTCCTTGTGACATCACAGTGCCAGAGTGTAACGTTAACTCGATTCAATTAACCCCCTCTGGACCAATGGAAACTGGCTGTTTCAGATTAGGAGCTCATCAAAGACATTAGTGACACCAATAAAACTTTGCTATAGGAAGACAATGATCCAGTCCAGTAGTGCGCTAGAGATCGCAGCCCCACTTTGATTAATCTTGTTAATTACTAGCCTTAGGGTTTCAACAAATGCTAGCCCTCTTCCCCCCTGAACCCCACCAAAAAAGGAGAGGCTTGTGTGCCATTAGATTCTTTGTAATTACAAAAGTCTCATGCCTTGGGACCTATTCTCCCACAGCCCTGGATATACTGTGAAGAACATACCGGACTGAAGTCAGTTTTAACATTAGAGTGGCGGCTATATGTGCATTATTCAGCGGGGGAGGACGGGGGGCTCTGTGGATTTGCAAAGCAGCATGTGCCTGTGCTTGAACTTTCTCCTAATGAGTCCCTGCAGTCACCTCAGTCGAAGGCTCCTGCCCTCATCCTCTTTCTTTCTCTCGGTTAATTCAGCTGTCGCCTTGTTTAACCACAAGATGACCCTCCTGCCTCCCTCCCTCCCTCCACTCCACTCCACTCCAGTAACAGCCAGCCGCTGTCAGCTGGGGACGCACACGCTATCCCTAACTTGTTCTGGCTACCTCGGCTCACATGTGACCCATTTCTCCCATGTCCTTGTTTTACCAGCCTTCAGCCAGTCAGCCTTATAGTTGGCAAATAGTGGCAAATGCATGCATGGTATGGCAGCCCACAGTTCATGCCAGTTCTGCTTCACATACACATTCACCCAAAAATTAGGCCAACAAGGCTTTGATGGCCATTCCTCTTTAAAATGACTACACTTTGCTTAAGCCAGCAGATCCATTTGACCTATGTCTAATGTGAACCAATTAAGGTTTTTACATCAGTGCGCACCAACGTGAAGCCGAATATCCCTTAATACCAGTTAAATACATGTCCCTGTAGCTATAATACACCTACACATGCTATCATGGTGTGCTGTGTGATTATGTGCTGATATAAAGCCTGCTCCAGAGTCCCATTGAATGTATTGAGTGAGGTATCTAATGGGCATGGGAACTAATTCCAGGGCAAAGGGGATTAAAGGCTAGAGAAGAGAGAGCAGCAGAGGGATGGCACTCGCTGGCAGCAAAGGGTACAGAGGGCGGAAAAATAGAAATGAAATATAAATGCACAGAATCCTTGTCTTTTGAATCCTATTTTGCAAAATAGTATTAAAAATTGGTATTTTGTTTAATCCTGGCAGTTATATTTATATATTTTTTTCAAATGAGAACAAAATTAAATATCAAGTGCTTCAGAGAAACAAATGGGAGAGAACTACTGTACAAAAAAAACAACAACCGCTGGACAATCTAACGAGATACAGAGATTTATCAAAATCAGGATGTTTCATCTGTCCGAAGCCTTTATCTCTCATTCTCATTATACCCTGAGCAAGAGTTGAGCCTTATCATTTGATCACATTGATATAGTTTGGAGACTCTACCTTGAGGACTGATTCCCAGACTGGTAGATATGCTGCTGTGTCTACACATGGAAATCAATGGATAGGAAGCACCAAGAATACTAGACCAACCTTGTCTGTATCACACACACACCTGCACTGTACTCAATAGCCTCCAGACATTTTCCAAAAACATTGTTCCTGTGATACAAAACTAACTTTGTGGGTCACTGGGTGGGCTAATCTAGGAAACCTTATGCCAGTTTTATTCTATTAACCCACTATCCCACATTGTTTAATTTAGCCTTTATCACCAAAAATGTGACATGGCTTTGGTTTTGTAGTACAACCAGTACTTTTCTTCAGACTCATTTAGGGGCCGGTTTGTTTCTTCTTTTAGTTTCACAAAACATCACAGTGAAGAGTGACAGTGCTCCTAAATAGACCACACTCCCTGCACTAATGTTTTTTGGGGACTGTGTGTGTGTGTGTGTGTGTGTGTGTGTGTGTGTGTGTGTGTGTGTGTGTGTGCGTGTGTGTGCATGTGACTGCAAACCTTTTCCCAGTATTAGGGTTGTTGATGTGAATCAAAGAGTGACTCATAGGCTAATTTTAGCCACTTTGCTACTCTCACCTATGAATGCTACACTGTGAAGTGGCTGTTGTGTCACACTCACAGCAGAGGAAAAGGTCCGCTTGTAGCTGAAATTATTATATTCTTTTGTTTGGTGATTCATAACAGGCACAAGAAAAGTGACCCTGTTACAATGTGGTAATAAGAAACTGTGCTACCTACTCTAAACTGACATTTTTTGAGCAAGTAATGTATCTCAAGAGACTTCCTGGTGAAATAACTGTTAGATAAACTAATACAAATAAAATAGATAATTTTACATGCTGTATATATGCTGCCAATATGGGAAAGAGGATGCTGTCTCAGTTTATGCCGTCCATTGTCTGACATGCTTTTGCTGCTGTAGATCTGTGAGGAGTTGGCTAAACAGGTGTTAGGCCAAATGCTGTAATGCTGAAAAGATCAGACAGGAAAAATTCTATTTTGTTTCAATGTATTTCATTGTATGTAAAAAAAAAAATTAAAATGATCACTATTTAATTGCTGAAGCTCTTAGTGGCTTTATTATGTTATTATAATTTGATACTATCCATCTTTCTATCCCCCAAACACAGAACACCTCGCAGCTAGCATCAAACAGATTCCAAGCCTAGCTAGCATGCTAAAACTCACAAATGCTGTCCTGCCCCATTACCTTCCTGCATAGATCTTAAAACAGAAAGCATCAAATATATAGGATTAGTGTATGTGGTATGTCAAAATGTTTTCTGTCAAAAGTCTACTGCTAACCAAGTGTGTGTGAGATGAGCTATCTTTCTTACCAAAATATTCCTCAGATGGCGGGTTATCCATGTCAAACAGCATCTTCTTGGTCAGGCGCTCCAGCTCGTCTTCAGGGTGGGCGATGGGTGCACTGCCCTGGGAATAAGGAAAGCAAGAAAATTGTCATTCACAAAGCCGAGCGAGGTAATGAAGAACATTTCATCAGTTTCATGCATTTATTTGCACCTCGCTGATGGATATCACCTCTGGTCTACGCGATACAAATGCTGCCTAACAATGCAAAGAAAAAGTGCAAGAATGTATCGCTTAACAAAATACGTCCAGGTTCGACTTAAAGATTCACAAAAAAACCTGACTTCAATAAATGGATGAAGCGCTGTCACAAGGTCAAACAAAGCACATTCACTGTAATCAACATGCAGTGGATGGTCTTGAGTCTGCCTTTCCCCTCTGAGATATCTGACCCTGGCTCAGGCCCCAGTGGTGGTGCAGCCCAGAAGGTTGTGCATATCCTTCTGTGCAATACAAGCGTGTGGAAAAAACTGTGACCCTGACTAATCCTTGTATTTTGGAAAATAATGATAACAGAAAGAAAAGAGGAGGCAAACAGTAGAAGAAAGCTACTTTTTAAGTCTTGTACATTTGGGTGATAGGTCAGGAGATAGTTATTCAGTCATACTCTGTGCACAAAAGATTTCAGGTGTGAGCTGCGTTGAGGCCTAATCTGTAAGAGACTTTGGAAGGATGACATAACTCTCTGAAGATGCCACTTCCTTCCTTTCCTTGTGAGCCTGCCCTCCCTCTTATCATGCAGTCTCTGACATCTGCCTGCTGTGTGTCTGTATGGGGCTGACGTGTTGTGCCTGACATTTTCTGCCAATCATTCGCAGCTCCCCCATCCCCCATCCCTCATCCCCAGCTCCTAGCGCAATCCAGTCACAGGTGTGTGTGTCCTTTGCAGACACCCTGGAGGCCTGAACTTGACTCTTTTCTTGCTGTGTGGCTGAGCTTTTTCAGAAATCAGTGACACTCCGATGACCTTCCCTAGATCTGGGGCCGGCTGGATCTTTACAGTAGATTTGATTTTCAATATTGTAACACAGGCTGAGATCTGAGCTGACCTTTGAGGTGTTCCTAATTGTGACATCTGGGAGTTGGGTGAATGTTAGCCACCTGTCTGGTTTTGTATTAATCTATCCATGGTTTACTGTGGCACATAAAGGAACCAGATTTATCAATAGGAGATTGAGTGAAGAAATGTTTTTGTATTCAGAATGAAAGAGTAATTACAGATCGTGTCAAGCAACTCTTTTGGTACTATTGATGACCAAATTTGTATGCACGTAATTTCCGGTAATTTGACTCATTGTATGTGTCAGTCAAGGTTTCAATAGAATATGTAAAATAGGTGTCATTTTAACAATATATTAAAGAGGCCATTTTATGCTTTAGGCTTACTTGTGCATGTGAAAACCTAACCTGGTGGAATACCTTTATTGTTTGGATGGAAATGTCTGTAAATCATCTAAGAGATAAGGGGAAGAGCTCTGTTGTTGACTGCACAGACGTATTGTCTCCTCCATCATCTGAGGGGGACTTGGAGTCGTCACTTTATTTTTGGAGGAAATGTTATGGTTGAGTGTGTTTGTGCATTTTACTTTACTACTTCATCAAGCTAAGCTACTATGTTCAAGCTAAGGATGGATCAATACTGGCTGTCGGTCACACAACGTCAAACTTGGAAGCTTTGCCTTGTTTATGTTGTTTTACTGTTCATTTTGTAAGTTGGTCTGTTTAACTTGGTGTTAGCATGTTGTGCGGTGGTAATGTGGCTAGCCGGCCCGGGGGTGATGCTGAACTGATGTTGTAATATTGAGGGGCAGTAAAGAGAAACTGTGTGACCGTTAAGCCTCAGTTGAAGCCAAATAAACCACGAGAGTAGTAGTTTGGATGCCGGTAACTGTTTTTTGATGTTGTTTTTTGTGTAACTTTATGCTGCAGAACTAACGTTAGCTCAGCAAGCGTGACCAATGAGAGCGGACTGGGCTACTCTGGAGCGCTTCAGACAGAGGATGAAAACAGGTGTTGCAGCAACAGCCAGTGTAATAATGTGTTGTATTAAACCTATTACAGTAGATGCCCTATATACGAGTATTAACCTAAAAATGTGCATAATATTTAGAGGTGGTAATGCAAATATACAGTAGATGTGGTGTGAGGACATGCAATGGTCTACTGAGTTTATTTCCAGAGACGGTGAGAAATGCTGAGCTCTGATTACTGTCCACGATGTATCAAACAGCACCCAGAACTTTATGATGCGTGACTTTTTCTCGGCCCGGCTCAGGATGCAGCAGGCTGATAATGGAAGCCCAAACAGTAGGCCTCATTAACTGTGAGGGATCGACACGTTCGATGTGCAAATCTTTCTGCCAAGCCGGAGCACTCTCTAGAGAGCAACTGGGCCGGAGCTCTTGGAATTCCTGGCACCTTGCGCCTCCTTGGTCACTCAACCATAAACGGCAATGACCACATCATGGAGGATTAAGAAGAGATAAAAGGAACATTCCTCGGTGGGTGGATTTTCCTCTGTTGTTGACTCAAATTACATGACTTTCTTTTTAATAATACACAACGGTCAGTGGAGGTTTACGTGGAGGGGGTTGAATTGGAATACAACCACCTGCATAAAAGTGTAGATAATATGTCTGTATAATATTCGTACACCTCAAAGAAATGCTCTTGTTGACGACACATTGCTCATTATGCCTGTGTTGTTAGTTTGAGACAGTGAAGAGGACGATTTAACACTGTTAATCTTAGCTCCACATCAAAAGCACATTGGAGAGGGAACGAAATGCTGCTATTACCAGAAACAGACTTTTGAGTTTAAGCTTCATTTATACCTTATCCACTCTTTGACACCCTGCAGCAATGCACTGCCAGAGAGTTTAAAGCACCTTGTTAGGGAGTCTTTTGTGACAGCACGGAATAATTTTTCACTTGAATAAGAGAAAGAAATTGCTTCCCTGCATGCTTTATGATTGCTTCGCAGTTCCTGTTCAGCTTTTCAGAGGCAACAATAGAAACCATACAGCAGCTATACGTGGTACAGACATGGTTTTTCAGTTATGTCTGGCTCAGTTCAGTAAATTGTTTGCCTGCGCCCTCGGGACACTCAGCCGCAGTTTCATTGAAGTTAGTGCTTAAATTCAGCGGTGACTGGGTTAACAGCTGCACCCATTTCCCACTTTTTTCCTCAGTATGTCGAGGCTTATCGTTTCAGGTCATCTGCCGTCTGCTTTTTAATGGCAGAAATCCTATCAGTTGTAATGCCCACAAAAGACGTCCCGATGGACCATCAAATGCCATCCACTTGACAAACGATTTGCAGAGAGTTGTTAAATGCCAGACCACTTAAAATCAAAAACAACAATAACATCTGTAAATGACCACTGTTGCGTGCTACCTGATACAGCATAACAGTGAAAGGCGAGCAGAGAAAGCCTGGGTCTGAGAGCTGATCTCTGCTCAACTGCCACATCTATGAATAAAGCTGTGTGCGCCACCCACTGTGGAATTGGCATTGTGTCAGAACTGATTAGGTGAGGAGTGGATGGTGGGTGTGGGTGGGCAGGGGGGGCTCGGTACGTGCTCTCACCTGATGCCCTGACAGCATTGTGTCCCACTAAGAACCAAACCTCAGGCTCTGTCTTTCCTGCTTCCACCACAGTGATAGAGAGTGAACAGGAGAGACAACTGTTCTCAGGGCATCAGATCCAAACCTTTGTTAGTGGAGGTGGAACAAAGGAGGGCAAGTGAACTGGAAGCTGGAACTATTTACATATCACCTACTATGGTAGAGAACAAGTGAAACAGATCTGTGGGATAAATCATAGCAGTCCAACCCAAGGGTTAACTCTGCTTTGTCCTGGTGTCTGGATCCAGACATACAGACAGCCAACAGGCATACAACAACAAAATATTTAAGTCAAACTGAAATTAAAATGTATTTTTTCATAGAAGTCAGTTTATATATACGTAGTGTTTGTTTTGACTTGCATTTGGCCAAAATGGTTATCACCAAAAAGAATAAATCTAAATTTCATTAATTTACTGCAGTGAGAGTGCCCCCTATGTTTTTCTAGGGGATGCAAATTTTTGATTAGTTCAATATGGCTGCAGGCAGGCACTAAACATTGTTTGTTATATTATTTAAATTCTAACAGTAACACAGGCTGGACACCAACATTGTTTGCCACTGCTTAGTCCCATCCATGATTTTACCACTCTCTACACGACTCAGTGTCATGATTGGAATCACGGGATTCACGCTACCTGAACCCCCTCCTTTGTATAACGCAATACAAAACACAGTACAGAGTGTGCGAAGGCTGCTAATGACTTGGCAAGTGTTAAAATAAAATGAACAAAAAGTAAAGACTAGTGCAAATCAGTGCAAACGTTAGGTTAAATAGGCTAACTAGCTTCTCTTTTCTATGTGGAAGGTAGGTAGCCTAGTTTGCTAGCTTCCAAATTCCAGATGAAATACAAACTTAACAGCATGATGACTCCCAAATGTTGTAAAGGACTAGAAATGTAATGATATACCGCAAGAATGTTAAATTGCAATACATGTACACACAGATGTACAGACGCAAACCCATGGCTGCCAGCTTGAGGCTTGAAGCTTACACATTGTTTCCACAAATACGATTTTATCCTTTTTTGAATGTACAAGTCATTAAAGTTTATATTTCCTTACACAAAAAGTGAGGAGAGTTAAAATTTCAGTTCAACTTTTGAGGAATCACAAACTGTATTCTCATATTCCGGCCAGTACTTTTTTATGCAGTGTGCAAAGACAATGAGATTGAGAGCCGCTGCACAAACAGCACAAACCACTGAGCTGAAAGTGGTAACCAGAAGGGGAACAGTACAGACACTGTAGAGGGAGCCCATTGAAAGACAAGTGCTAAACAACACTAATCTGTGTCTCCAAACCTGCAGTCATCTATCAGCCGTGTATTGCTTCTTTTATACTTCCTGTAAACGCAATATTGCACCTTAAACCAAAAGCAATTGTCTTACCTTTTACAATAGCTGAACATTTCCTGCATGATCAGCACAAACTA